ATTGCCAGGCACTAGGCTAAATGCATTCAAAGCATTCTTTCACTTTATTCTCAGGACCATGATTCCAGAGAGATGGGTAACAACTGAGGCAGTCCTATGAGTCCTTTAATTGTCTCAATTTACCACCAGAGCTTTCTTAGGTCATGGTGTATAGTTATGCAAATGAGGTGGAGCCTAGAGGCTGGCTGAGTGAAGATGGAGCTGAAAATACTGGGAGACCCAGACAGCTCCAGTTTGCAGGCGAGAATACCTAAAGGCGCTAGGTAGACAGAAAACCCCAGAGTATATTCAGCTGAAAACTGACCCGCATATGCAAGTGAGGAAACCCAAAGCCCAGGAAAAAAATATTTGAAAGGATGAAAGGTGACAATGCTCATGTTCACACTGGGATGGGAATAGGTCTGTCCCCACTGACCAGACTGGAAAAGCTCTTGATTCAGAGTACTGGGTAGAGGATGCAGAAGGCTCTTTTCTCAGCAGTGGGAATAGTTAGTCCTAGACTGAATACTGCTTTGGTCTGATCTAACAAATCTTAAAAGTAAGTCCTCAAAAGATCAAATTGTTTCCACATACTTAACTTTATCGAAGAACAAAGCTCAAGAATGTTTATAGGAATACAAAAATACCTGTATCTAGTACTGGACAAGGTAAAATTCACAATGTCTGGCATCCAATTAAAGATGACGAGGCCTGGAAGGAAGCAGAAAAATAGAACCCCTAAGAAAAAGAAAAATTGATCGATTGAAAGTGACACAGAACTGACAGAGCTGTTGGGATTACCAATCAAAGGCATTACATCAGTTTTTATATTCATACACTTAAAGTGAGACCTGGAAGATATAAAAAAGATTCCAATCCAACTTCTAGAGATGAAAAGTACATTGTTTGAGATGAAAACTATAGTGAATAAGAGAATCGGCACAATAGACAGTGGAGAAGAAAAGATTGGTGAACTTGAAGAAATAATTATGGAAGCTATAAAAAATGAAATACCATGAGAAAAGACAATAATAATTACAAAAATTAACAGAGCATCAGTGAGACAGAATCACTTCAAGTGGACTCATAGATGTGAACCGTGGTCCCCAATGAGAAGGAGGTAAAACTACTTGAGAAAATAAAGGCCAAAAATTTGCAGAGTTGATGAAAACCACACACTCAAATGCAAGAAGCTTGACAATCTCTAAGTACAAAAAACATGAGGGGAACCACATCAAGGCACATTATAATCAGATTGCTCAAAAACAGTGACAATAAGAAAACTCTTATGAGCATCAAGAGGAAAAATATATGGCTCATACAAAAAATGAGGGATTTCTCACTGCAGAGAGAGCAAGCAAGAAGACAGAGTAACATCTTTAAAGCACAGGAAGAAAAATAAAAATCTGTTCACCTAGAAACCTCCACCCAGCAAAAAAAGGTATCTTTCCAAAGCCAAGGTTACATAAAGACTTTCTTAAACACACAAAGTGAAAGAATTTATCACTAGCAGAACTGCACTACAGGAAATACTAGAGCAAGTCCTTCAGGGAGAAGAAATATGATACCAGCTGGAATCTGGAGCTACACAGAAGGAATGAATGAACAGGACCAGGAGTGGTAACTGCATGGGTAAATACAGTAATTTCTTCTTATTAAATAGATCTCTTTAAAAGCTAATTGACTACTTAAATAAAAAGTAACATCAATGTAGTGTGGGGTTTAAAGTACAGTAGTATAAAATAGATGACAATAGCAAAAAAGATCAGGAGAGGAGTAATGAAAGTATACAATTCTGAGGTTTTTATAGTATACATGAGGTGGTATAATGTTACTTGAAGACCATGATAAATCCAAGATGTTTACTCTAAACCCTAAAGCAATTACTAAGATAATATAGAGTTATCACTAATGAGCTAAAAATGGAAATAAATGGAATAATAAAAAATATTCAATAAATATAAACAGGCAGAAAATGGAAAAAGGAACTAAGAACAGATGGGACAAATAGAAAATAATTAGAAAGATGACTGATTTGATCATATCCATAATCATATGGAATATAAATGGTCTAAATAGCTCACTTAAAAAGGCAGTGATTGTTTGATTGAATATAAAAAGCAAGGCCTAATTGTATGAGTACAAGAAACACACTTTAAATATAAAACTCAAATTGGTTTAAAGTGATAGGATGGAAAATATGTCATGCTTACACTATTTAAAAGAGAGCTGGAGTGGCTATTTATTTCTGATATAATGTCTGTATTATATCAGACAAAGTATATTTTATTTATTTTAAAAATATTTTTTATTGATTTCAGAGAGGAAGGGAGAGGGAGAAAGAAAGAGAAACATCAATGATGAAAGAAAATCATTGATCAGCTGCCTCCTGCATGCCCCACAGTGGGGATCGAGCCCACAACCCTGGGCAATGTGCCCTGACCAGGAATCAAACCTGTGATCTCCTGGTTCATAGGTTGACCCTCAACCATTGAACCACGCTGGCTGGGTGACAAAGTATATTTTAGAGCAAATAATATTACCAGCAATAAGGATAGTAACTTCATAATTTTAAAGGTGTCAATTAATCAAGAAGACATGATAATCCTAAATGTTATGCATCTAAATTCAGGGCTTCAAAATGCCTGAAGCAAACACTCACAGAACTGCAAGAAGAAATAGACAAATCCACAATTATAGTCAGATTTCAATACCATTCTCAATTTGCATATAGAACAAGTACTCAGAAACCAGTAAAGATGCAGAAGATTTGAGTTATCACTGTCAAACAATTTGACCTAATTGACATTTACACAACATTCTACTCCAGTGATGGCGAACCTTTTGAGCTCGGCGTGTCAGCATTTCGAAAAACCCTAACTTACCTCTGATATTTGTCTTACCATGGTTGCAAATACCCCATGGCTGAGACGTGAGCAGGTAGCAGAGCCACCCCAGAAGCCAAGCAGCAATTCTTTGTGACAACTATCTGACTATAATTGTGGATTTGTCTATTTCGAAAAACCCTAACTTACCTCTGATATTTTTTGATATTTGCAACCATGGTAAGACAAAGACTTATATTTTTGATATTTATTTTATATATTTAAATGCCATTTAACAAAGAAAAATCAACCAAAAAAATGAGTTCGCATGTCACCTCTGACACACTAGTCATAGGTTCGCCATCACTGTAATCTACTCGATAACAAACATTCTTTTTAATGCATATGAAACATTTTCTAAGATGGATCGTTTAATCCTTCTTAAGGATTAAAGGTACAATCATTATTCCCATTTACACCTGAGTAAATGAAGGCATGAAGCCAGGTAACCTGCCAAAGATACAGCTGTTAAGTGTTACATCTGGGCTTTGAACCCAGGCTAGCTGACCCAGAACTCTTAATCACCAGGCTCTGCCACCTCCCGTGAGCACCTGGAATAGCTCAGGTCCCAGTGAAAACTCTAGGATTTAGAATGCAACCCCTTTTGAATAAACAAAGGAATAGGCTACTCAAATAGCATTCTCTAAATACTACTTGGAAAGGAAGTCCATTCCCCCTCTCCTCTCAGATTCCCACTCAGCCCAAATGGCCGGGCTGCTTCCTTCAAGTGACATGACTTATAGGTATCATAAACCCAGACCCCAGAGCCACTGGGTCTGAGAGAGAAGACAGTTGCTGATTGTAAAAGGCTCCTGGGAGTTGGCTCTGCCTGGGGCTGCCTCGGTGTTGGACGGGTGGTCTAACACACACGGGAACATGACCAAGATGCCCCTTGGCCCCTCTTTACGTGCCAAGATCCAGACAACAACTCCTTTCCCAGGAAGGAAATATGTTTTTATGAAAATGAAGCAAAGAATCCCCAGCTGATGGTTGACTTTCTTTGTCCACCTTCTTATCTCTGTTATTAGTATTATAACGTATATAATAAGTACAAAACGGAAAAACTTTGTAATATTTTCCAGGGCGAGGTTTCCTTACTTATCGGCAAGAAAATGGCACGGAGGGGAACACCTTTTAAATGGATTTTTGGCTGAGACTTGGCACATGGCAGTTCTATGGGAGGAAATGTGAAGTGGGGATATTATTCTGCCTCACCATGCGAAGGGAGGATTAAAGGTGCTCAGCAAACATGGATCTTGACAGTGAAATAAAAAAATAAAAAAAAATCAGTTTTCTACCTGGCTTCCATCCTGTATCCAGTCCAGCTCCCTTCCCTTCTCCCATCTTTCCCAACTACCATCACTGACACCCCAGTTCCTGCTGTCTCTCACTTCCTTCAACAGCTCCTTTCCCATTCCCCTCGCTTTTTGCCCATCCAGCTCCCTCCTTCCCTCTTCTCCACATCCCCAAAGTCCTGAGGACATCAAAGAGTGACAGTGGCTGCAGCCCTGGTGGAAAAGTTTCCAGCTCCCCCTTCTGTCTGGGCCGAGGGGCCGAAGGCTGGGCTGGGGCGTCCTGGCTTCTGGGGGGAAATCGTGGAAGAGGTGTCTGAAGCAGCGCCGTACCAAAAAGAAAAAGACCCCCCCCCCTTTGTGCTCGTTAGCGCGGTGACTTTCAGTTTGGGTCGTTGCCCCCCATTCTGACAGCCATTGCGTCCCCTGGTGTTTGTAGGTTAGCAACAGCGCCGGTGGGAGCGGAGCGCACCCTGGGAGCGCTTCCCTGGAACCGGAGCGACCCCCGAATCCGTGCGGAGAGAAGTCGCCAGCGCACGCG